AATGTTGTTCGGCCTTACATGTTTGAGCCGAACTCAGACCCCGAATCGGCAACGACAGGAGACAACCAACCACCTCCTCAAACGTGCTTACAACAGGATGTTTCAGAATAGCAATTCATTTATTTATTTTTTTTTTCAAACACCAAATGCAGTAAATACAAACCTGACCAGCCGAGCGTTTGCGATCACGTGAACTTGAAGACACTTGTACAAATGCGGATGAGTGACACGAATGGAAATGATTCCAGATTGGCGATGTAGTATTTGGTTTCTGTATTCTGTACTGTATTTTCCTGCGCTCAAACCTGCCAATCTAAAGGATCAAACGCCGTGTATGGCGGTTGAGGTAATTTGTGAATTAGCAAAGACTTATAGTCTAAATAAAACAATTTGCAACTGTTACTATTATTACACTTGTATACAAAACTTTGTATTATGCTTGTTATAGAGTGTGTGACGTCACGTGCACTACGGTTAATGCGGTTGTCACGGCGACCGTCACAGCCCTACTGTGCAATGATGTAGTTTCCTCTGACATCCAGACTGAACAGCGTTTTTTCGACATGTTTCCGTGTTGTTGTTGCTCAGCAATGGCATGGACGCGATGTTGTCTGGGGGTGTGGCAAAAGGAGAGTGGGACTGTGGGCAGTGCTCAGGGTGGTGACTAAAGGCGGTGACTGAGTAGTTCTGACGTCACCTTTTTACGGAAGTCCCAACGGTTCGTGAAAAATCACAGCTACTTTATGCAGGCTGTGTGCATTTGACTGTGGATGGACTGTTTTGAAACTTATATGGTAGTTACATAGCACCTAGACCTCTGTTATCATGAAAAAGCCAGGAAATTTCAGTTTTGACAATATGGGACTTTTAAAAACATGCCTGCTTTTCTCTTCTTTGAAGACACTTCATGGCATGGATTTTATGATTTTATCTAATACTCAATGCCAGCGCTGCTCTGCCTTCTGTGACCCTGCTGAAGGCTTCAGCTGTCAACATGTGAAAAGAGATGGCATTAATCTGTGTGCATTTGGAAATATTAAGGAGTGTTTGGTACTGCTTTCCCATTTTGGGAAGTCTGCCTCTGTCTTTTTCTCTCTGGGAATGTTTACCCACGCTGAGACTAAAAAGCTAATGCTTTTCCAAGGACATGCTGTACACAGCACATGGAGCACGTTCAGTGCCCTGCTCAGACTTACACAGCCCCCGTGTCCATAAAACACACACACATAGACTGGAAATGGATGGCCAGCATCTTTTACACCTTTTTTTAGTGGTTATGCTTTATGATTTCGTCTTACCTGTCACAGATGTAGGGCTCTATGATTTCCATGATGCAGGTCAGAATCACGGAATCCATTCACGAAAATAGAATTTACAGTATAATTTGTCCGGAATTTGGAAAATTTGATGAATAAATCAAAAGTAGGGCTTTTATATCAGCTCTCTGAATATTAATGTGCAAAACGTCAGCATGTTCAGAATGTTAGTATTGTAAAAATATTAATAAATTATGAAATTATTATGATTGAATTAAAAAGTTTTTTGAATTCAGTTGATTGGGCATGCGTTTTGATTACTGACATTTAATTCAACCATTAAAACGGAATCCAGAAAAAAATACAACGAAAAAAAAAAAGGAATCAAGAAAAATTAAGCAAAACATTTTAGCAAAATTAAACCGAATTTGTGAAAAAATAAAATAGATTTCCTGCATGACTAGGAATGTAATTATTCACTCAATTCACGATGCGATATGATTCATGATACTGATTTCATGATACAATTTTCTCATTTTTTTTTTTAACAAAATTAGATTTAAGACAAATAAATGAAAAGGTGTCCTTTTATTATTTCTCAGACAAAATGCTGTATATTTCTTTGTGAAAGTGAAATATGTCGAAAAACAATACTAAATTGAATATTTAAAATCCCAAATCAAATAAATAAATATTACAAATAAAAGTGATCTCTCAATATAAACAAACTAAGGCTATTCTTGTGCTCTTTCCATTTAAAATGAGAGGCAACCACTGCATTTTAATCACAATCCAAACAAAGATGCTGCACACATGCACCATGAGCTGTTTTTAATCTACATTAGATTATATAATTTCAAAATTTAAAGCAAAAACAGAACGGACTTTAGTTTTGTGAAACTATACTACATAAAACTTGGGGTGCATCGTTACATCCCTAATGGTGACAATAAAGAAAGGAATTTGTCCATATGAAAAAAAACTAAAAAAAAACAGAATTGTTTGTTTAATAAAAAGGAGAATCTGTCCAAATTAAACAACCATAGACCTGAAGTTCATGTTTGACATGTAAGGTGATTTTTTTTTTTTTTTAATTATTCAGATACTTTCTCCTGTCCAAATTTAAAATGCAGAGACCGCTATAATTGGCTTAACCAATGGTGTGAGATTGAGTCAGACTTTCTGTTTGCACTAATAATAGAAGACAACAGGAGTGTTTGAGAAACCAGTTTGAAAACAATAATTTTTGCAATGAAATGAATGGTGCAGAAATCACACACATCAAACTCTATACTAAATAGTGTACATGCGACACATGCAGCCTCTTGGCTTATTCTATTGTGATTATTATTGGTCATTCGAAGTCTTCTGGGATTAAAATGTTTGGCTGTAAATGAGCACAAAACCCCTGAACTGAACTTTCCCCCAGATAACTGATTCCCAGCGTAACTTTGCTAGTTTTGTGTCTCTCATAACACTCCAGTCTTCTCACATAATTAAATTTATCCAACTTCTTTAATTTATTTATTCATTTGTAGCCACGTAATACACAGGACAATGACGATCAGGACCACGGTCCCCTTGGCTTCCTCTGAACTAACACATGCTCATTGCATTGCTGATAAAACCATATGAGTGAACTGTTAAATATTAACCACTTTCACTAAGAGCAATGTTCACCAGTGGTGATTATTTCCTGTGATAATCTCTGAGGTTAGCTGTACTAAGTGCGCTCAAAAGGCCTCGTTTTCCTTATGTGTTGTGACTGGTTGACGGAGCTCAATCTGATCGGACTGTGAGCCATCACAGTACAAATGCTGCTTTGTCAATTTTTTAAGTTTTTGTTGACAACGGTAAACTTAACCACTTCATTTTGTCAGATGTCTGCTGTTAATGGTTAAGGCTACAGCAAATTTGTGCATAAACAATGGATGATCGTCACAGGTGGCAAACTTTTCATTGAAGTGAAAATTGATTAAATTCTGTGAATACGAAGACATTTTAACCATATTGAAATGAAAATCTTTATATGAATCAAAAACTTCTGGAATGCATCCAAATGCTTTATACAACATTGTGTTTTAATTATTGGGCTTTGCTTTGGTATTGCTTACATATTGGATACTACAGATGTAGACCGGATTAAAGAAGTTTTGCTGAAGCGCCAGAATGCGTTCCAGATATCCGCTCATAGAGAAAGAGCCATCGGAAATCTTTTAGAGCAGACTTTAGTTTAATTAGACTGCCGGAGGAGAAGAAGAAAGACTCATGATGCACGTTGGGCTGAATCGTCTCATTCCTTCATGTATTGGTTTATATTTATAGCCCATGTTAGTGATGGTGGTCGTGATTAGTCTGCCGCTTATTAGATGATAGCAAGCGTGGACAGACTGCATCCAATCAGGTACTTATCGTTAGAGTCATCAACCCAGCACATCATCTCTAGTCAGCAGCCCACTGCACTGTTTATGTGTGCGCAAACTTGTACTTTTCATCAGAAATAAGGAATATTTCAAGTTTTCTTTAACCTAATGACCATATACCACACGTGAGTTGCTGTCGGAGTGTGTATAAACAAGCAGAATCCACGTTTGCCTATTACAATAATTAACATTTTACATTTTACAATAAATAAACATTTAAAATATGCTAACATCGCACTGCTTTGATAGTCTGACCGTCAGTATAACCACATTGATGTAAACATAACACAGCTTTATTCTTGAATTCAGCATGAAATCCAATTTCAATTATTTCCTTATTAAACAAAAAGTTATAATCAGTCTTTCAAGTCATGTCATGTTAAAATTGGTACGTAGTTCAAGTGAATTAAAATATCTGCAAAGACCAGAAGAGACATGGAAGATGGATGTAACTCTCTGTGGATCATTGTTTACATGCAGCTCCACTTACAAAAATTATGTTGTCGATGCAAAAGCAGATACTCATACATTTCATGCAGAAAAGTAGTCCCACTTCAAAATGATGAATTAGAGGTAATTTTCAAGAAATTCAGTACAAATACTGAAGAATTCTTGAAGCACTGAAACACGCATTTCCTAGTGAATCCTCAGGCCTGCAAAGCTTACATTGTGATTGTGTTCACCATAAACATGCTTGCCATTTGTTTATACACAAAGAAGGACGGGTCGAAATTATTGTCATATTAAAATTATTGGTAATCAACAGCATGCACAGCTGGTTTACATAAACATTCGGGTGAAAATTCTATTTTAGTTTAGCCTTAAACCATCCTGCACTGTGTGTGTGTGTGTGTGTGTGTGTGTGTGTGTGTGTGTGTGTGTGTGTGTGTGTGTCTCACCACAAAACAATAAGTCTGAATGTAGTCATATGACTGTGGACAGCGCTTAGAAGGTCTAGACCGCTTGGTACTTTGAGTGTGTGTGTTCATGTGATACACAAAGGGCCTACTGAGAGCGCTCAAGAATCACAGTGTACACAGACTTCTCTCAGTCTCCCCAAAGACTCAGTGAGGACGATCTCTTTCACTCACTTACATTGTTCAAACTCTTACTTGTCACAGAATCTGCCTACAAAGGCAGTATTTTAAGGCATCGTAGGAGCAATTGCTGTTCCAAACATAGAGAATGAGATGAGCCAGAGTCAGGCTTTAATTTCATGCCATAGAGGACTGGTTCCATCCAATCAGCTGTTGCATATGCGGTGTAGTATCTTTCTGCATGACCTTTGACCTTGTGTTTGTGTGTTTTTTTGTCTCTGCAGCCCAGAATGTGACGGTGGAGGAGATTCTGAATGCCTACAGACAAGCATGCCAGAAGCTCAACTGCAAACCAATCCCTAAAGTGCTCAAACAGATACAGGTAACAGACACATTTATTCATGCAGTCTCACATCTGCAAAAACATCATGGAAATTCTTCAGTCCTTCATTCAAGACTAGTGATGCAACAAAAATATTCATCTGAAAATGAAAATGAAACTGTCTTGGAGGGCTGAAATCATTGACTGAAATGTGACTCTAATTAGCGTTTCTCCGATGGCGTGTTTTGACTGTGTTAGCGGCTACAACAGGTTAACATGTCAGCTCTGTCAAGGCTTGGACTGGATTGACAATATTGATTTCTCGATTTAAATCGATCTTTACTTTGGTGAGCTGAGGTCTTTCTCTATACTGGTTTCCATTAATGCGTGAACAAAACTTATAAGCTTTGCGCTTTGATAGGGAAAAAGTCTGGGCTCTCAAATTCTGTCTATTTAATAACTAAATTCAAACAATAAATGTGACCCTGGAGCACAAAAGACATCAATGGAAAGCTTATTTATTCAGCTTTCAGGTGATGTATACATCTCAATTTCGAGAAATTTACCCTTATGACTGGTTTTGTGGTCCAGGGTCAGATATGTCATTTTGATGCTCTTCAGTGTGACGTAAAGTGTAGCCGCTTGAGTTCAAGTGAAATGCATTTACCTCAGGAAAGCCTTTCACTGTCTACAAACTCGTTAGTCAGCTAGAAGAAGTTAACTTTAGAGGAGCATTTTGTTAAATATATGCATTATATTACATATTTATTATATTTTTACTGTTTTTGTTTATATTTTAATGTATTGTCTTAATGTATGTTTGAATAAATCAGTCGTGATAGCGAGTTTTTATTGCTGCCACTGTTTATATTTCAACAACAAACTGGTGTGGAAATATAATTATATAATTGAATATAGTATAATAATTAGGTGCAATTTAAATGTTTATATATTTGAGTATTGATTATTTAATATCTTTAAATATTTACATTTATTTATTTGTTTATTTTTTTTTTATTATTTAGTTTCAGTTTCGGTTTTCAGCTAAATAAAAACTTTAGATTTTGGTGTTTCAGTAAAAAAGTAATTTCAGTGCATCACTATTCTCCTTGAAGTCATAAAGTGTTAAATCCACACTCACAGAAGAAGAGGGATGCCTGATCACACATTAGTAACCTCTATCGTATCCTCAGTTGGCCTGTTGCGCTGGATTACATCTGTACTCTGATCACAAACGTATAACCGACCGGTCACATGCCTCCTGACTCGCTTACTGAAAGCCTCTTATAGACACAGCGCTGTAAACATACCATCCTGAGCCAACAAACGGTCCTGATGACACACACATCCAGAGTCAAATTCCCAAACATCAGGGATTTGCATAGAGCATTTTATTGGTTTGGTTAGGGCTCAACATGAACGTGCCTGTTTTCTGTCAGTAAACACTTAACTATATGACTTCCTATAACAAATATAGCAATTATGTGTTCTAATTACTAATGTTATGGTTTTCAAAGGGTCAAATTTGTCACATACACAGAAGCACATAAGAGTCTTAATGGCTCAGCACCAAAAATCAGCCCGTTTAATGCAAAGTATCAGAAAGGGGGAGAAAAAGGGTCTGAATTATGACTGTTTTTGGAGGAAAAAACTTCACTAGTAAATTATAAATTACTTATGATTCATGGCTGCCCAAAAAGAGTACAGGCTTTGGTTTTACTTGCATAACTTTCACATTTAGGTGAAAAAGTTGATCAAGTTTGATAATTTCATGCTGCAATTGTTCATCAATGAGTGTGCATATTTATCTAGAGTCCAAGAAGTGTATGTGAGATGAAGTCTCCATAACATGTGTAATGCATCAGTTAATACCTGGCTCAAAATGGACCTGAATGCAAAAGGTGTAACAATTATTAAATGGTTAAATCTCTTGGATGGATGGATGCGTGTTTTGATAGTCATGACTCATTTCCAAAGTTTGGTTCCTGTACAAAAACTATGCATTTTTAGAAATTAAGTATCTCATCTGGGTCAAACAGACCTATATACATTATGAGGGTTAGAAAATAGACAAGATGAAAGATGAGCATGAAAGATTTCAGGTGAGACTCGACAGGTGTTATAATGATCCAGGAAGGTAAGTGCAAGCAGATCGATAGAGAGAGAGAGAGAACAGTTTCTCCCATCTGCTCCTATAGCTGAGTCACTGAAGACAGACAGACTGAGATAAATCATGTTATCATGGATGGATGCGTGTTTTGATAGTCATGACTCATTTCCAAAGTTTGGTTCCTGTACAAAAACTATGCATTTTTAGAAATTAAGTATCTCATCTGGGTCAAACAGACCTATATACATTATGAGGGTTAGAAAATAGACAAGATGAAAGATGAGCATGAAAGATTTCAGGTGAGACTCGACAGGTGTTATAATGATCCAGGAAGGTAAGTGCAAGCAGATCGATAGAGAGAGAGAGAGAGAACAGTTTCTCCCATCTGCTCCTATAGCTGAGTCACTGAAGACAGACAGACTGAGAGAAATCATGTTATCATGGCCTGATGTTTGCACAGAGATGCCAGCTAACACCCACAATCACTCACCAACCAGCACATGCTGCCGCTCTCCTCCCCTCTTTCCCTCCGTTCACATCCCGCTCTTTTGTGTTTCCCATCTGTTACTTTTCCACTCCTTTATTTTTCTCTGCAAGTGTAGTTTTTTGTGCGCCGTGCGTGTAATGTGTTTTTGTGCGGTATGTGTAAGCTGTAGTTGTGCAGAGAGGCATCAGTCTGTTAAACCATTCCAATGGCATGATGGTAAATTTCCACTGGGAGTCCCCAGGGCAGAAAATAGCCGGTCATTACTGTTTGCGTGTGTACGTATGTGTTTTTCCACCACCTCAGTCCACGCTTGGGTTCCTCACTCCTAATTGCTTAGTCACCCTTGGAAAAATGACTTCACAAACAGGACTGTAAAAGAAATGCGTTGAAAAAGGAGAAGAGAGAGAGAAAGAGAGAGCTACTAAGAAGATTAATGCTCCTTTTATGTCGGTTTACTCTGCACAGATTATATATATACTAGTGCAGTTCCCACCGCCAAATGATACAGTAAACTTATTTATTTTTGATATATTATGTTACTGGAATAATGGTGTTTGATGTTTTATAATGATTGTATTGCGTTTTTGGGTTCGTTATATTTCTGGAGATCAGTAATTTTTAAAACTTGCCATTTGCATCTTGACTGATTTTTGTACTTGTGGGTAAAACAGTCTTTGAAAATCTTTTTAAGAAGTTTAAGATAAATGTCAAGTGCAGTTCTTAAAACAAAATCTTACTGACAATCAATCAAGACGCTTGATTGACACATAAAGCAACCAACTAAAGTTTTAGTTTTTATGTAGTCTATTAAAAGCATAAAAATGCAACATAAACAAAATGTGACGATATGAATAGAAAAAGAAAAAGAAAATAGAAAAGAATAGAAAAAGGCACAGATGTTTCTGAGAACTTGAGAAGACTTTATTTCTGTCCATAGATATGTTTACGCTATAGTTACCTGTCTCTCATGTGACAGAAATACCCACAAAACAGTTGTTAGACTAAAAACCTATTGACTGTAAATCTATTGTTGTCTTTAAAATCTGTACATCAGAGTATATTTGAAAACATTTGAAAAATCCTTTATATAATTTGGTGTTCTTGGTCAAAAAAACTTTTCCTTTAAGAAAAAAAAGAAAAGAAAAAAAATTGCTTGTAAATCTCTCATTCTGCTATATTATCACCAAATCTTGGATTCAATTTTTTTGTCGACTCATTTTCTTTCAATCAGCACAGGTTTTGTATTTATTTTTGGAGCTGATTGATCAAAGGCCTCATTGATCTGAGCTCATGCACCTCGGTTTTTGAGTGAATTAAGCATTATTTGTGGATAATGTTCACTCAAAAGCTGCAGTGCATAAGCTCAGATCAATGAAACCTATGATCCGTCAGTTCCAAAAATAAATGCAAAACCTGTGCTAACTGAAAGAAAACAAATCGATGAAAAGATTTAAGCCAATATTTGGTGATGTAGCATAACAAGAAATGTATCAGCAGTTTTACAAATGTAATAAGTTCGTAAAAAAAAAAGTACAAAAATCATCAAAAAATTGTACATTTATTTTTGGGGAAGTTATACCCTGTGTGTCAGTACGTTTGAGTCCAATGAGATGACATTAACATTAAAATCCATTAAAATCCTCTCTGGGTTAAAATGAGAAGAATGCAACATGAGGGTTAAATAAAAAAAAAATAACATTTGAATGCAATTTCCCTCCTCCTCCTCAGTACGAGTGGTGAAGTCTGTGATTGGTGAGTAAAGATGGACGCTTGTGTAACAGCAGAAACACAAGGGTCATTGAAGTTACATTAGAAAGCTCATGGCAGCGTTAAATGTCAGGTTGCTGACTCTGAATGCTTCCGACTCTTGGCTGATCAGAGAACAGGTTTTTTCACAGAGAACGGTGTTTCACAGCACAGACATCATAGTGTTTACACAGCCTTCAAAGCTATGAATTCAGCATTTACACTGGCAGATTTTCTGCTCTTAGTCCATTTGTTTCAGTGTGTGGGGTAATCAGGAGACATGTTATAACACACACACACACACACAATGTATTCGGCTGTGTATTTCTTGATTCTTATGTCTGTAGGTGTAGATTTACAATTTTGTGAGTTTGGCGGTTTTTTAAACCACTTGTCATTGCAAACACACTTTGTACACTAGAGTTATATTAATGGCCTACCTGTCCGATATGAAAAGATTTAAGCCAATATTTGGTGATGTAGCATAACAAGAAATGTATCAGCAGTTTTACAAATGTAATAAGTTCGTAAAAAAAAAAGTACAAAAATCATCAAAAAATTGTACATTTATTTTTGGGGAAGTTATACCCTGTGTGTCAGTACGTTTGAGTCCAATGAGATGACATTAACATTAAAATCCATTAAAATCCTCTCTGGGTTAAAATGAGAAGAATGCAACATGAGGGTTAAATAAAAAAAAAATAACATTTGAATGCAATTTCCCTCCTCCTCCTCAGTACGAGTGGTGAAGTCTGTGATTGGTGAGTAAAGATGGACGCTTGTGTAACAGCAGAAACACAAGGGTCATTGAAGTTACATTAGAAAGCTCATGGCAGCGTTAAATGTCAGGTTGCTGACTCTGAATGCTTCCGACTCTTGGCTGATCAGAGAACAGGTTTTTTCACAGAGAACGGTGTTTCACAGCACAGACATCATAGTGTTTACACAGCCTTCAAAGCTATGAATTCAGCATTTACACTGGCAGATTTTCTGCTCTTAGTCCATTTGTTTCAGTGTGTGGGGTAATCAGGAGACATGTTATAACACACACACACACACAATGTATTTGGCTGTGTATTTCTTGATTCTTATGTCTGTAGGTGTAGATTTACAATTTTGTGAGTTTGGCGTTTTTTTAAACCACTTGTCATTGCACACACACTTTGTACACTAGAGTTATATTAATGGCCTACCTGTCCGATTATATTCATCTCTCAATAGTTAACTCTCTCTGTTTATTTTTCCCATAGGACTTAAAAGACCTGACACAGCGAAACGAGTGCCTAGAACTCAAAGGTGAGCTGAAAATCTCCTTATCACAATGTTCAGTGTTTGCATTGAAAGTTCAGGGAATTTTAAAATTGTATATGGAATAGTCATAGACGTTTAATGAAATGATAAAAAGTCTTGGAAATATGAGTTGTTCTTGTTTTTAAAATGTTCCTTAAAATATTTGAACCAGCATTAAAAAAAAATCCTAAAACTCAATTTTTTTTTAATTAATTCTCATTCAGCAAGGATGCATTAAATTGATCAAAAGCAACAGAAAAGCTATTAAGTGTTACAAAAGATGTATTTTTCTAACAAATGCTGTTGTTTTGAACTTTCTATTCATCAAAGAATCCTGAAAAAGAAAATGTATCACAAAATATGAAGCAGCACAACTGTTTTCAACATTGCTAATAATCAGAAATGTTTCTTGAGCAGTAGTGATGGGAAGTCCGGTTCTTTCGGACAGTTTTTCAATTAACCGGTTCAAAAAAACGGTTCATCGGTTCTTTTACGCCCTAACGTAATGACGTCATTCGCAATGACGTAATAATATCAAGTCTATCGTCCCGGGCTGGGATGAAAATACACATTCAAATATATAAAGTCAGTAATCATAACTTCAGTCAGTTAAAACATCATAATCATGATTAGTGGTCGGCCGATATTCGAAATTTTTTAAATATCGGCATCGGCCGATACGTTTTCCTGTTTGGCCGATACGTTCGAGGCGGGACTTTTATTTTGACGGCGCTGAGAGCGGCAGCGCCTGAGCACACACGTTCTCCCTCTTGTTCGCTGTTGCTGTTAACAGTTCTGTCTAATACGGACAGAAATCTGTCTAATAATCAGAACGGTTAAACAAAGGAATTAAAATGTATACAAAAAGTATTATAATGATTGCTTTTACATTATTAGTAATAGAAAGGCAAACATTATAATACTTTCTTGTTTGCCGTCAGCATTCAGCAAATACGCATTTATATCATTTAAA